TCTTTGTTTGGGTCTAGTTGTATGAAGTTTTAAAGCCAAAGTTTATGATGAAGACAGAGGCAGAGCAGCTGTCGATGTTTGTTGTCCTCTCTCATGTGTGGCCGCGTGCAGCTGATACTATGTGTTATGTAGCAGGTTATAGGTAACGGAGGGAGGTGAATAATAACAGCACGCTCATCAGATGTTTACTAAAAATAAACATCCCGCACCTCGAGTCCGAGTCCACATCTCTGGTACACATACACACATTTTAAATGTTTTTACTGAAATCTAGTTTCTACTTTTTCTATATGACTCATTTCTTAATAACCCATGCCTTATAAATTACTAGATTAAATAGATAAGGGCTCGATCAGGGCTATGCTAACTTGTTCACAGTAAGTTACAATGATAGCTGGAAAAAGTAACAGACACATATTTACTGAACTTTCTTTTCAGCAAGCAATGTCCAGTTGTGCCCGGTTTATCACAGAGTAGAAGTAGTATCACAGAGCTCTGGGTACTCACTGACACCAACAACAACAGTGGAACCAGAAACACACGGTAGCTCGCTGCCAAGAAGCGTGAATGAAGATAAATCAACGTTTTAATCCCAAAATATAAAGTTAAAGAGGTGGTATTACGCTTTTTGGCTTTTTCCCTCTCCTTTATTGAGTTATATATCTTTTTTGTGCATGTAACAGGTTTGCAAAGTGAAAAAGCCCAAAGTCCAGCCCAAAGGGAGTTCCCATCTCCCACAGAAAGCACTTCTCAGAACCGCTTGAAAACAGCTCACCTCACCTCCAGTGAGCTCTAATGTAACGTGAAAACAGACAGACTTCTGACTGGTCAGAGAGAAGATTCACTATTCACTGCATCATCATTGCATGTGCCTGACAGAGGCGAGCAACAAAATATTATATTTTACAGATTTCGTATGTAATTTCATCACTAAGTCCACTTCTGAGAAGTTTTGAGATGAGAAATCAGCTGTGTAGATTTCGAATATTGACAGTTTTACGAGAAGTGATGGCGGAACAAAAATGTGATGAATATTGTCGGAGTTGAGGAGCTCACAGAGCCCTCTGCTCCCGCCGTCACACAGACCGCTGCAGCAACAACGGCAGAGGAAAACACAGCTGGAAGGTTTTCATACCGCTCATCTGTCTTTACATTCTGAGGAATGTTGAAACGTTTTAACTTAAAAAAGAGAAAGCTGTGTGGATCGCTGGTGTGTGTGTCGCATTGAACATTACGTTGCGGCAGTTGTGTGTGGCGTCGCTATGACGACAAGCTACGTACTCCATCTCTGGGTACTACCTGCAATGGAAAACGGAGTAGGGCCGAGTAGAATTTTTCGGCAAGGCAGCATAGATCGTGAGAACAGTTCAACATTTAGTCCTAATGGTAAGATGTGGAACAATGATGTTGTGTGGTTGTGGACTGGTAATAACTTATACCATCTGCTAGGTTACGGTCGCAGTCTGAAGTAGTGTTGTGTCGTTCAAAGAACGTTTCGTTCACAAGACCTAATCGTGTGTATGACTCGGGAGGAACGGGTTGTCTCAGTGAGTGATTCGTTCATTTTCACGCATGCGTGAAGGATCTTGGACTCTTACGTTCACTCGTCACAAGGCAGCTGCATGGTCTCTGTCAGCACAGGAAACAGAATTGATTAGTTCACAACTCTCAACTGTGGGTCTCTAGGACTGACTTGTTCATTTGTCACATGACAGCTTCTGTGTGGAGCAGGAATGAACGACTCGTTCAGCGCTCACATGGGTCCTCCTCAGTCTTTCGTTCACTCGGCAGGCTGAGTGACTGCCAGCGCCGGAGAATGAGAGGCAGGTCGGCTGTCAGGTAACTGGACTGACATTATATAGCTATTTTGTTAATGATGTGAGATTGAATAAAGCATAACGTTATTACAGCGCAGTGATGATGTGCTAAGTTATAGTTTGAACACAGCCGCACCTTAACTTTAGTCCTGCTAGTGTTTAACATTACAGCTAACAGCTGATGAGAGGTGTTCTGGGTCCACTTCAGAGCCCTCACAGGGTTATACCTGGAGCCGAATTACCTCCGAGGTCGTCCCCTCTCCAAAACAAACAGTTTTAAAACATTAAAACACAGCCACGTAGCAACGTTAGCGTTAGCCGTGTAAACAGTTAACAGCTCATCCAGGTCCGCCAGAGAACGCAATGTAACTTTTCCTTTTTATTTACTAACAGAGCCGTGCTGTTGTTTCACAGCTCGTGACTGGTGAACAACCTGCAGTGTTTGAGCGATGTGCTCATGTGTGTTTCTCTGTCTGCAGAATCCGGACCTGATGTGGCCCATTCTGCGTCCAGAACTGCCAAACTGCTGCGTTTATATAATGTGTTAATATTTCTTTGTTCTTGTTCTTGTTGTTGTTTCTCTGTGCTGGAGTTCTTTAAGAACTTGGTGGCTTGATCCAGATTATTATTAAATTGGTTGAATTTTAATAAGAGTGTGTTTATTCATATAGTGTATCAAGCTTATTACTTCAATATATTTACTGCAAATCTGATATTAATATTTACTCATGGATAGGGACGTTAGGCTGCTGTATGAATGAGCACTTTAGAGATAATGATAGTAATTATATAGATAAGCCTTTATATGGCTGGTCTGATTGTATACTCAGAAAAGATTGTGAAAATGGAAGGATTTAGCCGGAGTAGTGGTGATTACATATTGACAACATATTTCTGTGGTTTTTACATGGTTTGAAATTGTTTGTGGGCCAAGGGGGGTTTAGATAATGATGATGTAATCAAGAGGTGAATTTGTGCATTATACTTTGTCAAATAAAGCAAGCCAGGCAGCCTTCCATGTTTGAGAACGGCGCTGTTTTTTAATCACCCACTAGAGGGCTGCAGCGCCGCAATAACCAGCCTAGTTCAAATGAACTAAATGATTCAAAAATAGATTAGTTCATTTTAATGAACGAGATTTGAATGAACAAGTCTGTCAAAAGACTCGAACTTGCTATCACTAGTCTGAAGCGGCTTTGATTTGGATCACACTACCTTGTTTCTTACGACCCGCCCTTCTCTGCTTCTGATTGGCTAGTAGTCCTTACCTGGGAACTGCGCATGTGCAACTCCCAACAAAGATTTTGTACAAGTAAGATGCATCACTCTGTAGCTCAAGAGCGGAGCGTACAACACACAGGGTGAAAACAGGAGCTTCAGCAATGTGCAGTATGAGAAAAATATGTTTTTTTTGAAAATTAAACCATGTAAACCTGTTCTGGCACAACCCCTTTTGAACCTGAAAATGAGCATAATACCACTTCTTTAAAAGTTAATTTAATAAAAGCAGTTAACTGTGAACTCCTCCCATGGGTAAATGCAGTAGTTGTCAGAGCATAATCCAGTCCGACTGTGGTTGTTTACATATCCAAAAGCTGCAGCGGTGACCCGGCTATTTCTTCCACAGCTGTCCATAGCTAAGCAGCTGTCTGTCGGACAGCAAGATTCTCTCCCTCCTGCTCGGTTCTCTCCAAACAACGCTCTGAAGCCGTCTGTGAGGTCCGGACAATCTCAACGTTGATAGGCTATCGCGACACAGTATCATGCAACTTTCTCGCTCGAGTAGAAAACTTTTAATTTCTTCACGCTGCCAGCACTGCCCGACAGAAAATCGCGTCTCTCCACGTATTTGCATTGACTTTGTATGTAATCGCCCAAACCTCAATTCCCTGGACCCACAGTTAATCTGCGCCTCAGTCCAGTGGTTGCTGATTCATGTGTTTCTGACAATGACCCCGCTTAAGACATCAAAGAATCAAAGTAATCTCACTGCTTGCCAGTGAGAATGTACAGTATATGTCAGTAGGTTTAATGTTTTTTGTTGGCTGCTTATTGGGTCCCAAAGTTATTTACGTTATTTATTTATTTTCTTACGTTTAAATTTTCCTCTAGTTGTTTCATGACTTATTAGCTCTTGCCCTCGAGTTCACAGCCATCTGTGCTGCCAGACTATCATCATGGCATCAGCATTTGTGGGATTTGTCTCGAGCACAAAGTCCATGACTGCTCTTTCATAAATGCAAAGGACACACACAAACACAGCCCTGCACTTACTTTCACTCATATGCACCTCTGTTTGAAACAGCACAGCTGGGGACTAGACAACAGCCAGCAGCCTTTAGGCGAGCTAGCACACAGCCTAGATATCAGGGTTAAATATTAATGCATTCATTAAACATTTCTGGATGTTTTCTGTTGCACTGTATTGTGCTTACAGCAATTTCAGGTGTGAAGCCTCTCACGCTCAATATTGGCATCTTTGCTGAGAAAAAAGGTCTGCAACGGTCTTCTTTTCCTCTGTGGTTTGCTATGCTGTCTCCATCTCTGTATCGCTGCCTCACTCACATATAATGCTCATGTTTCATCAGTAAAAAAAGTCTGCAACTGTCTTTTTACCCCCAATATAACCCTGCTGTCTGCCATCTATCTCTTTCGCTAACAACTTGTATCTGGGGGAAAACATGCCTCCCGCTGAGTTGCGCATCTCAGAAAAACAGTCGGCCCGGAAACCGTCATCATCTCTACGACGTTACTTGAATAAACAAATGAAGAGTGAGCGATGAAGGGCTGAGATACAACGACCAGATTGGGGGAGATGTGAAAAATCAGGAGATCTTATTTCATCAGTGGAGTATCCCGGAAGACAACAGATGGACCCTGATTTGAATTCTGATCAATTGGTCTGCGTTCGCTTTGGCCAGTGGGGCTGTTGTTGCCATGCCAATGCCAAGTAGCCCTAATTAGTCCACTCACTAGCTACCTTTTTCACCAGGCAATAAGGTAGCGATCAGGAACATTAAGCATGTACCATGTGCTATGCAAACACAAACAAAGTCCTGAGGGGAAGGATTCTGCCATTAGCACTGTCATAGCCACTATTTCCTATATGGATATAACAGTTTCCTACATTTCTTCTTTAATGTGGCAAACAAACTTATGGGGAGAAGGCTGAGGAGAAGAGAAAGAAACAAGGCAGCACAAAAGACAGAAAGATAACAAAGGAAAAATTACAGACTTGAAAAGATTTCAAGGAGTGTTAAATCTGATTAGTGGAGCGCAGAGGTGTTAAAAAAAGAGAAGGAGAAGACAGTTTCAGAGAGGGGAGAAGAAGGGGGAGGGAACAATCGATGAGTAGGAAGGGCTGCTGGAGGAAGAGACAGAGCCACAGAAAACGAAGCACAGCAGAGAGAAGAGAGGGGGAGGCAGAGGAGCAGCGTCAGTATCTTTCTTGCTCCCTACAGACTGAATGCTTTCTTCCACTCAAATTATCATTCTGAAAGGACTCAACAGTGTGGCAAAAGGTCCTTGAATGATGGACGGCTATGCTAAATCTTAGCCACTCAGGATTATCACCTGTGGGAACTTCGCTACCTTTTGGGATTAAAATTACAAAGCCCTACAGGGAAGGAAAGCACACCGATAGAGCCAAGGATCACTGACGACTGGTCTTTGTCTAGAGGTAAACTAACACACGCCACAATCATATACCAACACTGTTATCGGCGTTCTAATAGCAAGGCAATGGGCAGGTGTACACAATGGCACTATAAAATCAACACATGTAGCTCTAGATAATCACACACAGCATGCTATGTTGCTAAACCTATGAGTCACGATTTTCACATGGAGAATAATTAGACAAAATGAGTGGCTGTCAAACAGCAAAGAACATGGGTTTTCACAAGTGCAGCTGTGGCCTAGAGGTAGAGTGGGTTGCCTACTAATCGAAGATCTGCTGTTCGAACCTCCAATCTGCAAGTCTAAGTATCCTTGGGCAAGATAATGAACTCAAAATTGCTCCCGATGGCTGTTCAATCGGTGTGTGTGATTGATTACTTTGTTTTTGATGAGCAGTTGGCACCTTGCACGGCAGCCACTGCCATCAGTGTATGAATGTGTGTGAATGGGTAAATGTGTGAATGTGACAGGTAGTGTACAGCGCTTTGAGTGGTCGGACGACTAGAAAGGCGCTATACGAGTACAGTCCATTTACAAGCTGAGTTCACTCCCTCCCAAAGAGATCAGCTCTCATGTTGTAGAAGAGCTCATACAACACAAAACTAATCAGACTGAATTCGACTGAATTTGTCCTTAGTGAGGTCACCCAGAGGACAGATAGTATATTCCGTTGAAATGAAATAAGTGAAAAGATGGGCATAACAAAAAGTGCATTGAGTCATCAAGCCAAAAATTCAGTTTAAATAAGGAGGCACGTTTAGTGCAGTTAAAACAAAGATTATGAAGACTATAAACTTCAACAGAATCTAAAAGGTAGTGAACTCAGTATCAGAACCAGTGAAGAAGACAAGACGGCAAAAGATGGCAAATGTTCATTTATTCAAGACACTATAGGGGCTGAACCTAATTACTTACATTGTTGTTGATTATTTTTTAGTTTAATTAATCAATTGTATAGCCTAAAATCTGATAAAATATCATATATAACGCATGTTTCCAGAGCCCACGGTAACATTTTCTAATTGCTTGTTTTGTCCAGCCAACAGTGCGAAATTCAAAGACATTTCATTTACATTGATACAAGACAGTGAAGTCTGGCTGGGAAATCCTTACATTACATTATATTAAAACCTGAAATCGATGAAAGTTTGACATTTTTCCTTGATAAATGACAAAATATTAACAGATCACTAAAACTGTCAAAAATCTGACATTAATCTCCTTGCTTATCTGACACCTTGGGCATCCATTTAGAGATGTACTTTATGTAACCGAGGCGGCTCTGGAACCTGGGCGTTTCACCAAAAATTGGTAGGTGTGTTGACAGTAGTGAGTGTTCTTTAGATTGGATGTGATTGGCTAGTTTAAGTTTAGGTACAAATTTTGAGTGGTTAAGGTTAAGGTGAGCCCACATCTGCCAACATGCCCCACACTGCAGTGCCATGTTTTAGCTGCAGGTTTTTCATGTCTTTGTGAAGTCTGCTGTTTTTCTGAATCAGCATGCATACTGTTGAAATATGAACAACAATATGCTACAAATGTATAACTACAAATTATGATTGCTACAATGACAAACATTTTTTTATTAAGACAAAATATCTGGCACTCATTTCATTATTGGGTTGGCAGTATTGTTTATTTGGTCAACATGCTCCTTAAATGGAAACTTTGTGCTGACAGTATTTTTGTCAACTAAATGTCAAATAAATGTTACTAAAGTAAAAGCAGGAGAAGCTGTTGCCTAAAATAAGCTGACCCCCGTAAGTATTCATTTAGAACACTGATGAGTTTGCAACATCAGAGCTGAGTAACCAGTTATCTGAAAACCTGAAAACAGCTAATAAGAATTAATTAATTAATTCCTTTGTTGGGTACCAAAACAATATTTGTGATACTTATATTTTATATATTTTTTTCTGCAATACCATTTTTTGATTTAAGCCAATATTCTCAAATGTTAAATGCTGGCATACAAGATCACCTTGCCTAAATAGAAATCGCCAAATTCTGATCTAAATCAAGAAGTATTTGATCTAATAATAAGTAAACATGAGTATCCGATCAGGCCTTGAAAATCAGCTTTCAGTACTTGACAGGCATAGCTACTCATGGCCGAAATCTTTTCAAATTTAAAATCAATTCAATCAATCAAGACAATTCAGTCCTGAACTGAATGAGAGAGCATGTGGACAGCTGTTGTGACATTTAACATATCATTTCATCTACTCACACATAGACAGTCTGCAAAAAAACAGTTCACAGTTTTCAGTGCTCATTTGCTGAACAACACATGATGAGAACCATCACAGACAAAAGGCTAGGCATCAAAAACGGATTAAACACCATTTTGGCACACACGAAGACAAGCAAAAAGATGAGCACTGTTTTGGGATGATAAATGATTCAAGATTAGGAGGGAGACATATTATACAACAGACTAGAGGGGAACAATCTGATTTTAATGTGACAAATGTCTTTCTTTCATACTATTTTACTGAAATCTTCTATCCTTTTCCTTTGTAGGATTAAAGATGGAATGTGATTGAGGAAGAATGCAAGGGAAGATGATGACGATGGTGATGAAGAAGGGAAATTAAATTATCTGCTTCAATCAGTTAATATCTCACAGTCTGTGAAAGATAAAGCTGGAGTAAGAAGGCTGTGAATGTCCAAGAGTCAAGAGATTAGTGTCTTTGAGTGGTCTCCAAACATGACCTACATCGCTGATCTTTGGTGCAACTCTGTCCACCTTTGGATCACAGGAAACTGAAGGGTTTGACTGGTCGAGTCCAGAAGAACAACTACACAAGCTTGTTTACTATTTCTCTTGAATCCTTCCCTATATTCTTTCTTCTCTACCTTCTCCCTTCACCGTTGTCTGGAATATGAAACCTGACATGGTCTGATATATGGCGCAATGGACCATATCAGGACCTTTACCTTTTCCAGAGAGGTAAAGACACGAGTGAGAAAGACATACAATACCTGAAAAGTGGTGAGAGGAAGATTGTTCTGGCACTGGCATCATTTTCAGGCGAGGATGAAACTGGAGGCAACAGTTGAAGCACAAAGGACAATGACGAGACAGAGCTAACCATGAAAGAAAGCATTGATCTTAGTGCACTGCACTGATGTTGCAAAGCACATGCCCCCCAACAAAGGGGCGGGTGTGTGTTGCTTTCTGTGTTCTACAAACAGAGTTTTCTCTTTGCCTGAGTTGAGATAGTATCCCAAAAGCTAAAGCTCACGGAAGACTTTACACTGTCCGTCAAAGTTTGATAAGTTCACAGACAGAATGGTGCAAATAAAGTCGATCAAGTGAAGATTGACCTTGTCATGTCAGAATATGATGGGATGGTTTAATGTACTCCAAGTTTTTTGTAGTTACTATTTTGCTGCTAAGCTGGAGAGGACAGTGCTGGGAGGGAGTGGTGAGTTAAAGCCTGCAGTCAGTTTTCTTTAGTGCAAACCATAGGGGACCCATGATCCACAAACCAGGGTTCTTAAATGGCTCGTCTGCTGGGCAGATGGTGAATGAAAAAAGATCTTGAGAGAAGTTCAGACCTTCAGACACCTGGTAAATCTCTGGTGAAAAAAGGGTGTGCCTCTGGAATTGTCTCGGTTTGGAAAAAATTTGTTTCACTCATTCCCCTCGTACCAATGTTGGTAAGGTGTGGGAGGAAGGGGTTTCATACACTGTTCAATTAGTTTGAAGCATCCATGACTTGTCTGCTCTTTGTCATAGCATATGTACTCTGGTGTCAAAACCAATATCCCAACACAAACTGCTAATTATGGCACGCACAACACAGTGTTTCCCCTACCATTGTTTTTACCAAATGACCCCAAGTCCCCACTAGAAGAATGACAGAAATATATATATATAATTAGGCTGTATTAAAAAAAATCCAGCCCTTTTCACACACACACACACACAAACAAACACACACACACACACACACAGGGAATTCGCTTCTCACTCGTCACCTTAAAGTAAAATTGTTTTTAACTTTAGTCGTGCAACATTGTTCTGGTGTTTATCGGAGCTGCTTCTGTCCTCTCTGTCGTCGTTTCAGTGCGGGTGGGGCTTAGTGGCTCCTCCGCACTGACACACACACCGCCATATAGAAGACGCCACACTAGCAAGAGCCAACTTGAAGTGAAACCACACCAGCAGATGAAAGACGCTTGCCCAGCTCGTTGTAGATTTCGTGGCTGTGTGGGCGGAGTCAGATTATCTGTTAAATAGTTTTTAAACATACAGTTGGTCAGGCTTTAAACAAGGATACACGCTGCCCACGTGAGAGTAGCGTCGTCCCACTTATATCCTGTGTTCTGCAGTATATGGAGGCTATCAAGCCTGTTTGACAGGGGACAATTCATGATACAACAATACATTCTTTCTGAATTGTCCCCTATCAAATAATATTATAATAGCCTGTTTTAACATCCTGCTGTTGCAGTAACCTAGCCTACATTTATTGTGACCGGTCCCCATAAATAATTGCACATTTGAATTTATAGTCTTTTCATTAAACAATTTGTAATATTTTCTTGTTGAATTGTTGAAATTTTATTCACCACATTATTACACACATTCTGATGACAAAAGGTGCTTTTTTGTCATCAGAAAACACAGAATTCAGAAAAATTTTAACAGAAAACACAGAATCTGGCAAAAATTAAACTGACTCTGGCAAAACTTTTGATGTATTTCACAGTTGACGAACATTAACAGGCAAAAATTGGTGCGTTGCGTCGATGACAACACCATATATCCGTAACATGGCCACTCCGCGACACTTGTAATCAGAAAGAAATCCTAGGGGAAACACTGCAACTCAACATTGACAATAAAGCACCGTGTATAATAATATCAATCTCACACTTCTGCTATCTATCTCAAACAAAATTGTTCCCTTAAAACCTGAAATTTGATTAAGGTAAAAGTAACTTTGTATGACAGACATGCTGAGCAGTTCTTTGTCAGATGATGTATGATGACTTGAATAAGTATAGCAACATCTTTCTTAATTTCCTTTTTGCCATTTTAATAAAGTTTAGTAAAGATTTTAGTCAAAATCAAAAAAACATAGATCTTAAATTATTCTGGAGCAGTTTAGGTGGGATAAAGTCATGGGCAACTGGACATGGTTGAAGATACTCGAAGACGTATCACCTATCATCCAAGAGGCTTCTTCAGTTCTGACTGACTGACAGGGATTCCCAGCTATTTAACCTCGGTGGGGTTGTTATCTAGGTGATGGATACTGCTTGGTTTGTTAGTGCTGCTGGCTGTTGTGGTTGTAACAGTCACCTGAAGTCTTAACAGCTATTGTTGCCATTGTCACATGAGGACCAGTGTGAGCATTCAATCTTCAGGGAAGAGATGAAAGGACATCATTGTAACTGGGGGATAAGTGGTGTCTCAGCCTTCCTCACATGTTGAGAGATGGTCCTCTCCCTATCCAGAATATGTGCATTGTATGGAATCAAGATTGCGTTTAATCTTCTTTTCCTCATCACCTGTAGTGTTGCTCCTGGATTGTGTAATGTTCACAAAGGTAAAGTTTGGATATCCACAAGCTTTGATGGCATCTTTAAAGGTGTTTAAGATCCTTCTCTTATGCTTGGGCTGTTGTTGGTAGGTTATCAGCTTGATGGTGCAAGGTTCTGATAAGCCCTAGCTTATCAGTGGGTGGTGAGACTAAGACTAAGCACTGGTCTCTGTGTTGGTTTCCTACATACTCCAAGATGGAAGCTCCTGTCCTCTTCAATTTGTATGGCACAGTCCAAGAAAGACAAACTGTTGCTGAAATCCTCTTGTGTGGACTTGGAGTGCAGGGCTCTGCTTTCTACTTCTTCCACGTATAAGTTGGCCAGAATAGGAGATACTGGTGAGCCAATGGTACAGCCAAGCTTCTGTCTGTAGAATACCCCATCGTTCTGGAAATAGGTGGTGTTCAGTCTGAAGTCCAGCAGTTCACCAATTTGGTATGTGCTGAGGTTACTTCTGTTGTTACTGAGGATGCCTTTTGGATGAGAGGCAAAAAGTGTTCAACCAAGTCCAGTTGTCCTTGCTTTTAACCCACCTTGGATAGACATGGACGACTGAAAATCTTCACAGACATATTCTGGAGCAGCAATGTCATAGTGAAAGCCATATCATTAGTAGCCCATTATCTCTTGTAAACCTTACCCTACCCTCATTGCTGATCAACAGTATGTTCTTTACCAAAAGCAAAAGCTTGACAGCTTAACAAATCTCTGGTTGAAAAAATAATCTGTTGTTCTCTGTACATAATATGCTTTTAATGTTTATTTAATAAAGCTTTTTTGCACAAATTACATTCCAGGCCTCTTCCTCCCATCAGGATAATGCACACATCCCCAATGCTGATCTCCGTAGCCACCATGAGCAACATGACGGTACTTGACACTGCTGATCCCTATGACCTTGATGTGACCTCCTCTGAGGCCGTCTACCCCATCAGCTTTCAGGTAATGCAATGCACACACTTCTCAGATGGCTTTTTCAATCACATCAATTTAAATAATTTAATTTGATAAAATGCTAAAATATTTTTTGTTAGCATGTCAATCCATACAGATCTTCCAAGGTACAGTAAATGATATTTTCAGGTAACTGGAAACTGTTCATTAATGGTTTGGGAATTTGGTTTTTGGATACAACATCTTGTGTAGGGATGCACCGATACCACTTTTTTTCAGACCAAATACAAGTACTTACACCTGGGCACTTGCCGATACCGAGTACCAATATGAGAACTTAATAATATCATTACAGTTCTTACAATTTGTTAGTTTTATTTGCATGTTTTGCTCTCACCTAACTCTAATAAATACATCTTGATGCTGTTGCTGTCATTTTAACATTCAACTTTTCCTCACGAAACACGACATTGTCTGCTACCCATTCCACATAAATTTAACTAGGAACACAGTGGATTTCAGTACAACTAAACATACAAACTGTCGAAGAACAAATCAAAGGACACTGTATGTTATCATATGTAAGTGCTGTCTGTAAGGATTAAGCCTTTTTTGGAAAAGTGAGGGGCAGGTTCTTTTTGATGAAAAGAAGCTTCTCTGCATCAGCCTGTTTCTGTTTTCATCCACAATATGTTGACTGAGCTAAATAGCCTTTCACTTTCCACACTACTGCATGGTGCTGAGAGGTATCTCCGTGACATTTGGGGCGAGAGTGGGAAGCCGCACTTTGTTAACGCTCTCGTTGTGTACTCTCCAAGGTATGTCTCTAACTGAATGGCAGCACCAACGGGTGCAGTGCTCAGTGATGTCAATGCTTGCGCATCTACTATCTCATCAAACACACTGTCCAGAGTGCTGCTGGCCTGGGCCTTGCGTATCTTTATTGCAGGTGTTCCCCCAGATCTTCCTGCTTGTCTGCCTCTCCTCCAGACACCTTCTGCATCTCCTGCATCACCATCTCTTTGGCCTCTGTGGCAGTGTTTTTGCTTGAAAAAAAAAAACGATCTTTATACCTAAATCAGAGAATTATATTTTAGCTGTTGGCAGACAAGCTCATTTGAAATAGTAAATAATGAATGTCGGAAAATCTCTTCATAAATTTTATAGATTATTTAGGTTAATATCATAATAACATTTTCTTTTCATAATTTTCTCATCACATAATCAACGCACTCACACACACACTTTACCTCGGATCGAGTACTGTAGCAATGCAGTAGAGTGGGTTTTTTTCCGTGTCAGTGAAGCGTCTCTTGACAGCTGCAAATAAGGTTCCCTTCATTGTTTTGATGCCGTGGTCCTCGTCTGTTTCTTTGGTCAAAAGTTTCTGAAGCACAGTGACTGCAGGGATCACATCTGAAGCCAAAGCATCACAGGAGCTCACTTTTCGGTTTAACTCCTCAAACGGAGCAAGAACAGATGGTGAGCGGTGAAATTGTCTGGGAGTTCATATTCTGACCCAAATATTCCCACAGCCTGCTTATGCTCGATGAGCGATTGCACCATATAGTATGTGCTATTCCAGCGGGTCTGCATGTCTTGCTGGAGTCTCCTTATTGGCATGTTGAGCTGCAAAAGAATGTCTTCCAGGCAGGAGTAGGCTAAGGCAGAATGTTGAAAATGTCCACTATTCTACGTCCGAGACTGCCACCGCATCAGCAACACTTCGCTGAGCTAAAAGGCCCTCGTTAACAACCGGCTGGATGGTGTGAGCGGCACACGGCAGGCTACGGACACCAGCATCACTCATAGCCTTGATCGTGTTTTTGGCATTGTCCCGAAGCACAACGTGAACAGAAATTTTCAGAATGCCCCACGCCTGAAGCATATCATCAAACGCACCCGTTATGGCTTGGCCAGTGTGCGAACCCCGATAGTGCTTTGCTTGTAGAACAACTCTCTGCGCAGTAAAATCTCCACCAGTCCACTGCGCAGTTAAACTGATGGGAGACATTGGGCTGACACTGCTGGTCCAAATATCAGTGGTGAAGCTGAAGGCCAAGATGTCCTGCAACAGGTTGCTGATATGCTTTTTTACAAAGTCATGCAGCTTCGGTAATGCGGTGTCTGTAATGTGGTGACGACTGGGAATTTCATACTTTGGCTCACGTACACTAAGATTTATTATTATCTACAACTGACAAAGGCTGGTCATCAAGAGCAATGAACTGGGTAAGAACCCGTGGGTTGTCTCTGGATATTTTCTGTCTTCTCCAGCGTTTGCTCCAACGTTGGTTGTCGTAGTTTCCCTGTGCTAGCATTAGCAAACTCCTTGCACTCTGTGTCATGTTGGTTCTTTAGATGTTTAATCAAATTGCTTGTGTTAAATGAGCTATTTTTCACCCGTCCTCTTGACAATTTAGCAGAGCATATTTTGTAGTCTGCTCTAGTTTTGTCATCATTGCTTATTTTAAATAATCTCCAAACGCCTGACATTGCTTCACTTCCGACATTTCCTACTCACACGTTAGCCTGGCTAAGGTCACAATGCCGTAAAAAGGTATCGAGTGCAGTCGTATCGGAGTAATTCTACGAGTACCAGTTTGTATCGGGCCGAGACCTGAGTACTGGTATCGGCATCGGTGCATCCCTAATCTTGTGTATAAAATGAGTCTAAAGTAAGTATAAATGAAATCTTCCACATTATTATCATGCATTATTATGAGTAAAATGAAATTGAATGTCACACTAAATGCCACCATGTTTTTTTCTGTTGGTAGGTTTCTCTGACAGGTTTCCTGCTTTTGGAGATAGTTTTGGGCTTGAGCTCAAACCTCACTGTGCTCATCCTCTACTGTATGAAACAGAACCTCATCAGCTCTGTGTCCAACATAATCACCATGAACCTGCATGTGGTCGATGTGTTGGTGAGTCCTAACCTCATTATGGGGCAGATCGCCCAATACATGGAAGATTTGCTGTGCAATCTCCAGCTTCCCCCAGCATGTCCACATGTCCTTGGGCAAAATACTTAACCCCAAAGGTTAAAGGGTGTACCATCAACTTGTGAGTGTGTGTGAATAGGGTGAATGTGACATGTAGTCCGGAAGACTAGAAAGGCACTATACAAACAGGGATTTAACATCAAGTGGTTGGATACTGAGACTTAGGTACTACAAAAAAAATCCTTAGCACTGCTACCATTTCGGCAAATCCACCACAATCAAGTTTGATTATGTACAATACTAGTGCTGCCCCTAAATGTAATTTTGTCAGTTGAATCACCACTGTAAACTTCGCCAAATTAGGTTGACAGTAAACATTTGGCCTATTCATTAAATAAAACCATGCTGCTACTACCACCTCCATTCTGTGGTTACTAGGGCTGCCCTGAATGTCATATGTGAGCTTCGCCAGTAATTAACAATCAACCCACCCAAATAAGCAGTGGAGAGAGGATTTGGCAGACTACGCTGTCATCTTTTTTCCGTATTTTTCCACCCGCGATCCGTTATCACGGCAGCAGGTGAGCTGCTTGCTTGTTAATGACGTAGCCTATCAAACAACTCAAACAACCCAAACCAACATCTGCATCCTGTGTGTCCAATGCTGCTTTAACGTTACCTGGTCCGTGCTTGTAAAATATCCACTGCAACTTCGTTGCGTCATTTCAAGTTTTTAACCGAGTGAAGTCTGTGCAAGTTAACACATGCACGACCGCATGCATCGTCCCAACCCTACTGAACATAGTGTTCATGCTGCTCCCTGATGAAAGATACCTGCTGACCTGTTCAGAAAACCCTCCAAGAAAAGTGGACTCTGATGGGAACTTGTTTTAACAGTGGCAAATAGCATTGCTTTTATATTTGATTTGATTACATTAATGTTTAAGTTCAGATTTACAAGAAATATTTTATTGCTACTGTGTAAAGGGAATACTGCTGGTAAAATGCACTTTTATCACGATTAAAAATTTTAATCGTTGCCCAGCACTAATAATAACGGCACGTAATTATCACCAAAAGGCTATGTTTAACTTTTCTTGCGGCTAGGCTAGTAGTCCCAAGTGCAGGACTAAGAGAGGGAGGAGACTGGAGTTAGATAAGAGACGAATATTTATTTATTTACCAGGTTGGGGGTCCAGGGAGAGCAGACGGGATGAGCACTGTTTCCGGTAACGGACAGTAACAAGACATTATGTAAAATTCGCTTTTAACTTTTTTTATAGCCAACTAAATGTTCTTAAACCCTATAACTGCCATTGTCATCACTCAGTTTAAAATGTTCCCACAGAGCTGAGGGCTTCATTTTGTTTTCCCTTTGATGTGAACTGGAGTGTTAAGGTCACTGCTGTGGGCCAGGTGCGCAGGAATAAAAATAAATATTCGAACCCCAAAATTTAAAGTCGAATGTGTACCCAACAATCAAATATTCGGGTCCAGCCCTAGAGGTGGGTTTCTTGGGCAACTACAAAGACTAATTCCTTTAGCAACTTAGCTGTGCATTCTCTGGATTGATACAATCTTATTATACCCTTCAGAATCAACATACCTGTTACAATCAATGCAAAACGTGTGTTCTAGTTTTATCTGGTCCTGAACTAAACAGTCTCAAGATGAAAACCTAATGCATTTGGGATGTGACCTGAATTTCTGTCTTGTTTCCAGGTGTGTGTAGGCTGCATCCCACTGACAGCAGTAGTGGTGTTACTTCCTTTGGAGGCGGACACGGCCATGATTTGCTGTTTCCATGAGGCCTGCATCTCCTTTGCAAGCGTAGCTACAGCTGCTAACGTCCTAGCCATCACTGTGGACCGCTATGACATCTCAGTGCGGCCGGCAAACCGCGTGCTTACAATGGGTCGAGCTGTAGCTTTACTAGGATCCATCTGGGCTCTATCCTTTTTCAGTTTCCTGGTTCCCTTCATGGAAGTAGGGTTTTTTATCAACTCTGGTTCTGAGGTTTTGAACCAGACTGCAGTGGTCACCGTGGCTCATACAAATGAGTACTACACAGAGCTAGGTTTGTACTATCACCTGCTAGCACAGATCCCTATATTCTTTTTCACAGCTGTGGTAATGCTAGTGACATACTACAAGATCCTTCAGGCACTGAATATTCGCATTGGTACACGCTTTCAGCACAATCTACCTAAAAAGAAGCAAAAGAGCAAAAACACCATCTCTTTGAGCACTGGAACGCAAGCAGAATCGACTGATGCTTCACAGAGCAGCACAGGAGTCAGGGCAGGTGGGAACGCACCTTTGGGCATGCGGGCTTCAGTGTCAGTCATTATTGCATTAAGACGAGCAGTAAAGCGACATCGGGAGAGACGGGAAAGGCAGAAACGAGTCTTCAGAATGTCTCTTCTCATTATCTCCACATTTCTACTTTGCTGGACTCCAATAACTGTGCTCAACACCATCATCCTCAGCACTGGGCCCAGTGATTTAACGGTTCGCCTCCGTTTGGGCTTCCTGGTGATGGCCTATGGAACCACTATCTTTCACCCACTCCTCTATGCCTTCACTCGGCAGAAGTTCCAAAAGGTTTTGAAAAGCAAGATGAAAAAGAGGGTGGTGTCTGTAGTAGAAGCTGACCCTACGCCAAACAACGTGGTCATCCACAACTCGTGGATTGACCCCAGAAGAAACAAGAAGGTCACCTTCGAGGACACAGAAGCCAGACAAAAATGTCTATGCTCACATGATGCCGAGTAATGGGATTAACTCAAATGTAAATATGTCAAATATGTACAGTAAATGGGAAGTCGTTACACTCTACTCATAAAAGTGAAGTAGACTACTACAAGAATTTTACAAACTGGTTACTTAGAGAGAGAAGAGATTGCTTTTAATGCAAATATAGAGGTGGAAAGTATTTGAAAAAAAGCATGGAAGAAATGTGACTATGATGGGGGAACATACTACAGTCAAGAAACTAAAAAGATGTGTGCTTAATAATACATAGGTGTCATAGGCATACAAAGAGGGTAATTTATTGCTATTTATTGTGGAATGTTGTGGAATGCTATCAAGGACAATTTGGTAAGTCTGTATCTAAGCAGCAGTGTGTATTGTTCACGTAAGATGTACACTCATATAGTCAATACTTTGATAATGTTTGTCACCATTTGTAATAAATGCCAAATGCACACTATGCGCCAGTGTCCTTCTGCTCTCTTGCTTCTCCATGTGTAACTGGATACAGGGACGCAACGGATCAAACCACTGGGGGCCAAAAATTATGAAGTATAAAAAGAGATAAAGTTCCAACTGGACTTGGTTGAAGAACCAAGTCCAGTTGCACTTGACTTTAACCTTCGTTGGATAACTATGACCTGGATGACTGAGAATCTTCACAGACATCTAACAAGCAATGTTTAACGGATAATCACAACACAAAACCAAATGAGTGTTGGAATCAACACCAGAGATGGCATAATTGTTGATGATAATAAAGCTGTTCGCTGACTTTGTAAAATGCCACTGCCTTGTAACATCATTACGATAACAACAAATGTGAAGTCATCTGTCACTCAAATGAGCCAACAAAGGCACTGTGAATGGATGGAACAATGGTTAAGAAGAGGCTATGGAGGTTGCAGTGAAATTAAGTCTTTAAATTTTAAGACTTCTCTCATTTATTCACACATGTTTTTTTAAGTGACCTATTCCCTGCTTCCTATGCCCTATTGCCCTATCCTATGCCCTGCAGGACACAGAAGAATATATCACTCCATGTAGGGGATCAGAGTATAAAAATCAGTTAAAACCTTAAATGTAAATGAAAATTAACTCTCTGTGGTAAGTCTGATTCAGTGGTACGTGTATATTGTTTGATGGAGGCGTTTCAAAGATTTTGGATAAGGCTAATCAAATGTTGCAAAATGTTTATAATTTATCTTATATTCATAGCAGGAAAAGGCAGTAGAGTTGACGACCCATTGGAAAGTTTTCAAGGATCTGATCTGTCTCGGTGTCTGCATCTTCCTGCCCTCACATTTGATCAGATTCCAACGTTACAAGGTAGTTTATGTCAGTATACAACACAAGGATGTGTAACGGAATGAAGGTTTGTAATCCTTTCATGCTACACAAACGGAACTTAAGAGATAATTAAACGTGGATAGAAAATGGTAACATTTTAAATAAATAAAATAAAACAATAGGCTATAAACAGATATTTTTATACAAAGGCTATATAGAGACACGTATACACCTAGAACAATCCACAGTGCATTTTTTTAATTTGTGTCTGGGGGGAATGTAAAAAGCAGTAACAAGATAATAATATGGTTTTATCTTCACATTAAAAAGTGAAGAACAGTTGGAAACAGTGTCCATCTTGACTGTATTTGAGAAACAAGCATCATCAATGTGAAACACAGAGTCCGGCTGCTCTCATCTTGCCGGAGTCTTGTGCTGACAGCTTGGAAACATGGACCACCTGCGGAGTGTGCTTGGTCAACATGAGTCCTCTTTTGTCTAGACAGGATCTCCAGGAGCAGCCTTAAAGCCCCACTCTAGCCAGTTTTAACTGCCGTTTTTGGTTAATGTTCTTTGTCAATCAGAGAATGGGGGTGTGGTTAATAGTCGGACGTAATACATTACCATTACAAACAAAAACTGACCAGCTGGAGTGTCCACTAACGATATGCTGTGTTAACATCACCACACTGTAAAGTTTAGTACACTTTACTGTCTGGCAGGAGCAGCTATTACTTACCCATGATAGAAACTAAAGTGCGCGCATCAGCTGTTATCAATCACACAGTTGATGGTCCTGTCACACACTGCACACGATAACTCCCACTACGTTTTATGGTGCACTTACTTTACCACGTTCTATTACTCTGTTGAACTGTATGTAAAGATTTCTGATACCATTGCCTCCGCCGATTGGTAAAACAGCCGTCTGTAAAATACATGTTGCAGACTGTATATAAGACGGTGGCATGTGAAAGTGCGACGCCTTTTCTGTAATCTGTCCTCCAATACCGCACGCACAATGCCATAATGAAAATGAACAGCACACTAAACCAAGACGAGGAAACTAAAAAATAAAATGAAGACCAAGGCATGACAGTGCGCCTGCGCAAGCTTGGAGAATGACGTATGACTTATGGAATTACTATAGTCATATGTCACAACCCCGTTTCAGCAACTAAATGTAAATGCTCCGTATTTGTATAGCGCCTTTCTAGTCTTTTACACTACATCTGCATTCACCATTCACCCACATTCATACGCTGAGCCTAAGTGCTCAAACAGAAACTAACATTCACACACATTCATACACTGACGGAACAGCCGCCAGGGGCAAATCAGGGTTCAGTATCTTGCCCAAGGACACTTCGACATGCAGCCTGGAGGTACCGGGGATTGAACCGCCGACCTTCCAATTAATAGGCAACCCGCTCTACCTCCTGAGCCACAGCCGCCCCAAACTAGGCAACTTTTGCAACTTTGAGCACAAAATAAAACTATTTGTCAAAAAATATTTGGCGAACTATGTGGGTAATCAACATTGTAAGGAAATGAAATATCATAGAAATGTCAAAATACACTGGAGGTGGGGTTTAGGTCAAAGCTGAGCCAATATGGCTCCTATTCCGTCTCTCTTTCCGGTCCTCTGAGCAGGATCCAGACCCAAAGCCACAGTTCTTACCCCCACATTCTATAGGACCATCCTATGTACGCAACCATCCTGGTCCAAAGTTGTTTGTGGTGGCAGCAGCTGCTCAGGGACTGCAACATTACAACCTCCCCCCAAGCTGTCAAAGCACTAAACGGATCTGCCTGATGAACCCACCCATCAGATATTGCAGTGGCCCCTCTGTTACTCTGCATGTGACTCTGAGCAGCCGAGCGGCCGAGCAACATCCCGGGTGTCATTCTGAAGTTTCGCCAGCTGAGCACAAGAAAACGAAACAAACAACCCCTTCCGGTGCTCAAGCTCTGCTCATCCTCTCACCACAGGTTGCTGAAAGAGGCCGCATTCAGGAGAAGCTCTGGAGGCTTCACCCGTCCAGAGACAACAGGGAAAAAGGACGCTAATTGCACCAGTCCCCGGCTACGCCCAGTCAGTAAACACGGCTCATGCTATGGATGCTCAACATACTCTCTTTTACCCTGACAGAGCACAGCCTGCATCACCTCGGTCGCTGTTCTCCCCCTCAACAATAAGGGCCTGATTTACTAACATCGCGAATAAAGAGAACTAAATTGCGTGTGCAGTCTAAAATATTGCACGTGCAATTGTAGTACCTGTTACGGGTGGTCCACTAAGAATTATTGCATAGATGACAATAGGAGCAAACACAATGGAGGTGACAGTATTTAAATGAGGGTTTTGTGTGTTTTAATGGTTTCCGCCTTAAAGAGTCTGGAGGGAAAGCAACAACTGCGTAAAAACCTTGCTTTGTTTCCTTCAGTGCATCCCGAGTATGTGGAAATCGTATGTACCTGCCCATCCTGCCTAAGATCGCACTAAGTAGTTGGGAAAGTACACCTGAAAAACTGCTTTGGGAAAACCCAGCAGAAACAGATACAGTATGCTGGAATGACCCAGGAAATGGCAGCAGATCGTGCTTCATCCAGCCAGAGGGAACAATCACCAATAATATTATCTAATATTTTTAATTTCTCTACGTTTTCTTTCATTACGGCTGTGTCTCCTCACAACGATAACAGCAGCCATCTCTGTGTAACACTTGGCCGTTTGCACATTCCTTTCAAACGTATTAAATACAGATGCTGTTGCCCTCACATTAAAATTGCTTTTAGCCTTGTTAGATCACATTGCATGTAGTAAATAAACGTATTTGCATGTTACCCTCCTACAACTTTCCAACTCCCCAAATTGCATATTCATTAAGGCAAAAGTAGTAAATGATCAACAGGTGCTATCTTGCACTTTTGAAAGACAGTCTGAGTTGACCAAATCAGATTTTAAACATCTCTTTAATTTCTTATTAAAGCAGTGTGGAAAGCCTGTTTTTATCTCATGTCCCATTCCCACAGTAGGTGCTGGTTGCTTCAGCAGACTCCTTAGCCTCCACAACTGGCTTCAGTCTGCTTTGCAGGGCTCACAATGCGTGCTTTTTTTTTTTTTGGACATCTTTAATCTGTTCTGGGAGCAATTGTCTTTTTTAAGAGAGACAGACTTCACCCAAACAAACTGACCCCCTACTGTCGTCCCCTGGCACTAACACCTCCACCAGTTCATTTTCTTATTCAGGCTCCATCCACACTACTACATTTTCTTTTGCTACATTTGCACCTCCTGTCCAGACTAAAATGGTGAAAACTAGGACCTAAAACGGAGACGTTTCAAAACCAACCAAGTGGACAAGATGGGTAGTTGCTCATTGCTAATAAGTTTAGCTAATAATACTTCAGCTATATAGTGTACATATTGTAGAAGTTAAGTAGCCTATGGGAAAAGGAAATAGCACTGAAAATAAACTATTGTTCAGATGACCATCTTTAAACCCCGCTGAAGTGATTACAGGTACCCATGGTGCAAACCATAACAAAACACAAAGCAAAAAAGCCTGCTTGAGAAATTGTTTGAATGATTGGACAATAACTGACTGACATAGCAGAGACCAGAAGCCAGCGCTGTATCACCTAAAAGAGCTTGTTGCTGAGGACACTGACCCCATTTAAAAGCTCTTTGCAGCCGATGGAATTTGTGCAAGCCTCTGTGTGTGTGTGTGTGTGTGTGTGTGCGCGCGCCTGTGGCTAGCAGGCACAGCCTTCTGAAAACACTTGTCCTTGTGAACCCACTCTAGTATGGCAGATAGATTAGTGGTGGTGGTGACATGTAATGCATCGCTTTTCCTGTGCTAACACCAGAAGGTCACACAGTGCTCTGAAGCTATCTAGCCACTGTTTGACCCAGCAATTCTGACCAAAAGAATGATGGAGAACTGGGTACCTCTGTTGTGACCTCATCATACACCCCATCAGAAGGGTATGGTTACAGCCTAAAAAGTTCCCCCACCCAAATGGTGGCATTACCGCCTTTATGTGATATATTTCCATGTTGGGGCTGGATATTTGACAGTAAGGTATGCTTCACACAAAGTGCTTAGCAGATCTTTTGACAGTGTATAACACTAGCAGTAGCGAAATCCGGGGGGCTGCTTTCAACAATTTCTGTCTCTCCAAAACAGACACCTTGACAATCACGCCCACTTTACACATTGGCCAGCTGTGAGGTGTGAAACTATGCAGGGTTTTAAAATCTCTCAAGTTTTTTTTATTCTTTACACAACTAATTTTATCACTGCTCATCTGAACAAACAAGTACAACACCTCTTTGAAGAGAGACTGTCGGAAAATGTGCAGCATTATCCCCACATATATCCTACTTGCCCATTGTTATGATGTGTATTCACCTTTGCCTTTCGAAGTGGTAGGACAACAAGTCAAACAGCCAAGCTGGTTTCACTTTCCAGGAAGCAACAAGTTCAAGTGCCCACTTAATGGAATGTTTAACAGAGATGCCTTTATGCAATACCGTGTGTTATCAGATACAGGCCAATGGCAGAATTACTTAAATACAAACCCGCTCTGCTTTTCAAAATATTAATAAATTGGTAAAACTATGACTGCTCTAATGATCTTTTTGTGGGTTTATGTTTGAGTCTTGTTGAAGATCTGGTTAGTGTTTAATCTCTCGGCCTTCGCAAAGCAGCATGCCGTGCACCCTACAGCTGACACAGCAGGCCCCATTTTCTGATTTAAAGGTCAACAGCCCTGTCGTCACTGAAGCAGCTTATGATATCCTCTTCCCCTGATCCTATTGACCACAACACATCCACACTATAGATTAGCCACTGCTCCAGATACATATTTCGCAGCCAAACATCTTGCCTTGTGTCCACTTCTACAACAACTAATCCAGAGGTGACAAGACCTCAGTTATATCCAATGACAGCTTGAAAGAATACGTTTTTTAAAAACTACTTAACTTATTTTTTGGAAGATGTTTATCTAATCAGTTTTTTTTGGGTGAAATATGTGTTTCAGCATTAAATATAAATAAAGAGTGAACTATGGATTAGACATCAGTAAACATGCATGTCCTTACCTAGTTCATTGAGGCTCTGAGCAGCCTTGGTGAGCTCCCTGCTGCCCCCCTGTAGCTGACCCTGCAGCCTCTTGCTCAGGTACAAGATACGAATGATCCTCCGCAGCAGGTCACAGGCCACCTGGAGCAGGAATCGAAGGAGGAGGCAAGATGGTGAGGTATTTGAATCAAACTCAATCCAAAATATCCAGCACTTTTTAACAATTATTAAAGTAAACGTGATGCACTGCTGAGGCGCTCGAGTGAGACAGTGAGGCCCAGTTTAAGGCCGTTGTTTGAGGCGTAAACCAGACTGGCCTCTTTGAATCAGACAAAATATCTCTTTTTCTTAACCAGTTAACTAATCCTCTTTCCAAACCTGATCATGGTCAATGGTCTGTACGTCTATAGCGCCTTTCTAGTCTTTCCGACCACTCAAAACGCTTTAACACTACATCATATTCACCCCATTCACAAACATTCATACACTGAGGCAGAGGCTAAGGTGCGATCTGCTCCAGATATACATATTCATAAACGTTCACACACTGATTTCACAGCCATTGGGAGCAATTTGGGTTACAACATCTTGCAGACTAGTGTGTAATATTAAGAAGGATCTATTGAGAGAAATTAAATATAATATTAAAGCTGCAAGCAGCGTTGGGCGGGCCCTCGCACTTGTAAGCGCGTCCGCGCGTGAGCCGGCCGAGTTGCATATTCTGGAGCTCTGCCGGTGCGGCTGTGAATTTGTTACGCGGTTATGAAGCCGCATGAAGGTGTTATATGTCACTTCCTGTGTCCCCTATGTGGAGCTACATAGCACTTGCCGCTATGACTATAAATCAGTATTGGTGTGTAGATGTCTGCAGGGTGGGACAGTTATCAAGCACGTAAAGTTTGTTTCAGATGTGAGCATGTACACTGAACAATAATGTACCCAAACTATAAAATAAATTCCTTTTATATTTCCCTTCCTTGTTGTTTATGTGTACATACAGAGGAAGAATGAGAGAACAGCACACATTTCATCGTTACTGTGTGTTAGAGCATGGGAGAACAGTGGATACTTTTAATACAGCCCACACCCCTAATACTGTGTAACTATAACAAGTAGAGAACAGAAGAAAAAGATGTTCTTTCTTTACAACTGTCTGCATAGCTTATTCATATTGTGTAATGAATGAAAATAAATAGGCCTACTAGGCTCCTCTCTACTTTGACATTTAAGATTAGCTTGTTTGATCCACCTTCATACACATGTGACATTACTGTACAACTTGAGAAAGGTGAGTTGTTTTCTGCTCCAGCCTGCCTAAAAGAAAAGCGTTTTTGGGATTAAATGGACTTTATTAGCTGCTGCAGTGCAGGATGAACTCAGAATAGACCCATTTCTCACCTTATTATTCTAAATCATGCAACGAAGAAGAAGAAATGCATAAGAAATCCTGTCCACAAATACTGTACAGCATGTAGTCTGATGAACAAGACTTGTGTTATAGCTGACTTGGGCAGTGAAATGTTTAATTTTTTTAATTCATGTGGTCATAGTTGTCCACAACTCAAATCAGAATATAAGAAGAAATGTTTTATACCACCTCAAGAAGGCTTCCTTTAAGAAAGGTAGGAAGGTATTTCAAATGTACAACTGCAGTACTTAAATCTAAGTAAAGTAATTTCCCTGACATTTTTGTGTTACTTTACTTTTAATAGACGCATGTAACAGGTTTTATACTTCCTGTGAGTATAATCCAATCAATCTTATTTTCATACTGTATATCCGTTGTGTAATTTGATAAATTGTGTCATTGTGTAAAATGTCGTGCTCGCATCGCATCTCAGAGAAGACTCTGACTGCAACATGCGTCTTTGTAAATAGAGAAACGGACAGAAAAAGTCTCTAACTCTGCCTGTCACCTTGCTCTGCTCCGTTAAAACTGAATTTACCATACAGAATTGAATACGAGTGCACTCCAGATTTAGCTGCAGCCAGCTGACCGTGTGCTTCTCCCTATACCGCAGTTCTGTGTCCATGCATGCAGCAAACTGAAAGCACTGTCTTTCGGAGCGTCTACGTGAAAAGAGAAGGAAGACATTGCTGGTAGTATTGTCTTCAGTGTTGTTAAACACCTCAGCACACTGAAGGAAGCCATCTGACTGTGTGAGGGGCAAGATCGTTGATGTCTGCAGGCAGAGTAGGAGCTCTCCTGTCTGACTGGTCCACCAATAGCAGAGAAGATGACCCCTTGAGACACAGCCCCTCATTTGCATAATGAGGCAGAAATGCATACAGAAATTTAAAAAGGACAGGCAGAAATAAATACCATGGGTGAAAATAAATAAGGTAAAAAAATACAAAGGAAGAATAAAACAGACCAAAATATTAAAACACACACATAAATAAATACATTTAAAAAATTTGTAATAAATAAAGTTGAATAAACAAATAAGGTAATTATAACAAAGGTAAGTAAAGGCACTAATTAAAATATATAGATTTATGTCTCCTTGTATAATTTAATTACTATCTACATTTATTTATTTACTTTATTAGGGCCCGAGCACGACCGTGTGAGGTCCCTATTGAATTTGCTCGGATTATTAGGGCCCGAGCACGACCGTGCGAGGTCCCTATTGAAATTGCTCGGATTTTTTTTTTTTTTTTTTTTTTTTTTTTTTTTTTTTTTTTCTGCAAAGTAGGCCCAAATGACATGGCCTAAACATACTCGAAAACTCACCAAAATTTGCAAACATGTCAGAACCGGTGAAAAATTTCGTATTCTACAAGTTTCACACATGGGCGTGGCAAAATGACTCGCTAGCGCCACCTAGAAAATTGGAAATGATTAGCCCCTCGTTCACGTTCAACCTACATGTACGAAATTTTCTGGGGACATGTATCGTATCAAGACGCACAAAAAAGCCTCAAGAACCCATAGCCTAAAGTCAACAGGAAGTCGGCCATTTTGAATTTTATGGCCATTTTTGGATGATTTAGTCGGATCGACCTCAAATTTCTGCTGTGCCTTCTAAAGGCATTGACGATGAAAAGTTGTGCTATTTGCGCGTTTTCGTCAATGGGCGTGTCCGTGGCGTCGATGATTCGCAATGAAACAGGAAGTTGTTGTAACTTCAGTGTACATGCTCACATCCGGACCAAACAGTACATGTAGGATGAGAGTCCCGCCCTGAACACATGTACATGCCGACATTCACCCACAGTCATAGCGCCACCTGCTGGCAACAGAAAGTGACCTTTAACGAAGCAGCCCCCGCCGCACGTTTCACCTACGTGCACGAATTTTCTGTGGTACGTGTATCTTGTCCAGACGCACAAAAAAGTCTCTTGGAGCCATAGCCTAAACCCAACAGGAAGTCGGCCATTTTGAATTTTACGTCAAATTTTGGATGATTTACACACTTCGTACTTTAACGAACTCCTCCTAGGGATTTAGTCCGACCGACCTCAAATTTGTGCTGTGCCTTCTAAAGGCATTGAAGATGAAAAGTTGTGCTATTTGCAAGTTTTCGTCAATGGGCGTGTCCGTGGCGTGGCGTCAAAGATCAACTCTTCGCCATGACACGGAAGTTGTCGTAACTTCAGTGTACATGCTCACATCTGGACCAAACTGTACATGTAGGATGAGAGTCCCGCCCTGAACACATGTACATGCTGACATTCACAGACAGTCATAGCGCCACCTGCTGGCAACAGGAAGTGACTTTTAACGAAGCAGCCCCCGCCGCACGTTTTACCTACGTGCACGAATTTTCTGTGGTACGTGTATCTTGTCCAGACGCACAAAAAAGCCTCTTGGAGCGATGCCCTAAAATCAACAGGAAGTCGGCCATTTTGAATTTTACGTCAAATTTTGGATGATTTACACACTTCGTACTTTAACGAACTCCTCCTAGGGATTTAGTCCGACCGACTTCAAATTTGTGCTGTGCCTTCTAAAGGCATTGAAGATGAAAAGTTGTGCTATTTGCGAGTTTTCGTCAATGGGTGTGTCCGTGGCGTGGCGTCAGAGATCAAGTCTTCGCCATGACACAGGAAGTTGTTGTAACTTCAGTGTACATGCTCACATCTGAACCAAACTTTACGTGCTTGATAACTCTCCCACCCCGTTATGGAGGACCGATCCTGACACAGTCAGAAATAAATACAGAAATAAATAAATGCTCAATAAATAAATAAGCATCCAATTAAATACACAAAAAAATAAAGTAAATAAATAAATGTAGGTAGTAATTAAATTATACAAGGAGACATAAATGTATATATTTTAATTAGTGCCTTTACTATTCACCTTTGTTATAATTACCTTATTTGTTTATTCAACTTTATTTATTACAAATTTTTTTAATGTATTTATTTATGTGTGTGTTTTAATATTTTTGTCTGTTTTATTCTTCCTTTGTATTTATTTACCTTATTTATTTTCACCCATGGTATTTATTTCTGCCTGTCTTTTTTAAATTTTTGTATGCATTTCTGCCTCATTATGCAAATGAGGAGGGCTGTGTCTCAAGGGGTCATCTTCTCTGCTATTGGTGGACCAGTCAGACAGGAGAGCTCCTACTCTGCCTGCAGACATCAACGATCTTGCCCCTCACACAGTCAGATGGCTTCCTTCAGTGCGCTGAGGTGTTTAACAACTCTGAAGACAATACTACCAGCAATGTCTTCCTTCTCTTTTCACATAGACGCTCCGACAGACGGTGCTTTCAGTTTGCTGCATGCATGGACACAGAACTGCGGTACAGCACACAGTAACGATGAAATGTGTGCTGTTCTCACATTCTTCCTCTGTATGTACACATAAACAACAAGGCAGGGAAATATAAAAGGAATTTATTTTATTGTTTGGGTACATTATTGTTCAGTGTACATGCTCACATCTGAAACAAACTTTACGTGCTTGATAACTCTCCCACCCCGCAGACATCTACACGCCAACACCGATTTATATTCATAGCGGCAAGTGCTATGTAGCTCCACATAGGGGACACAGGAAGTGACATATAACACCTTCATGTGGCGTCATAACCGCGTAGCAAATTCACAGCCGCACCGGCAGAGCTCCAGAATATGCAACTCGGCCGGCTCACACGCGGACGCGCTTATAAGTGCGAGGGCCC